CTTTACCTTCATACATCCGGCAGAGTGAGGGTCTATGGCAAGCTTTCCTCGCAATTCACTGTCAATAGCGGTGTGCGACAGGGCTGCCCTATGTCCCCATTCCTCTTCAACTTCGCAATCGAAGACGTTCTGTCGAATGCTCTAGAAGGTTTCCAACATTTCGGCTTAGAGGTTCTACCGGGTGAGCGCGCGACCAACTTAGATTATGCTGATGATATCGCCTTACTTGGTGACGATCCTCAGAGTATGCAACTCATTCTGGATCGTTTGGCGGTTGAAGCATCTAAGTATGGCATGAGCTTCGCCCCATCGAAGTGTAAAATACTGCTCAAAGATTGGCTTTCACCTGCTCCCGTACTCACTCTCGAAGGTGCACAACTTGAACAGGTAGATAGTTTCGTCTACCTCGGGAGCTGTGTTTCTGCTGACGGCACTATCAACAAAGAAGTTTCTCTTCGTATCGCTAAAGCTCGATCAGCATTTGTCAATTTGAGGCACTTGTGGCGTCGTCGCGACGTCTCATTCTCACTAAAGGGCCACGTCTACAGCGCATCAGTTCGCTCAATATTGTTATATGGGTGCGAGTCCTGGCCGATTCGCGTAGAAGACATGCGTCGTCTTTCTGCATTCGATAACGGTTGCTTAAGGAGGATCGCTCCTGTTTGGTGGCAACATTGAGTAAATAGTAATGACGTTCGACGTCGCATCTTGGGGAATGCAAGTATTTCCTTCAACAAACTGGTTTGTTGCGCCAGTTAAGATGGCTCGGTTATGTCCTACGCATGGCACCTGAGCGTCTACCGCGTCGCGCTCTATTCGCTCGTCAAGGACCTGGCTGGAGGCGACCGCGTGGTGGTCAGCCTTCCACTTGGCGGCAGCACATGAAATCGCTGACGTCGTGTCTAGCCGCTGTTGGATCCGTACGTCTTCCAAGATGGGGACCCAAAGATGAGGAGTGCCAATGGCTTAGCACTCTTGAAGATATGGCCCGCAACCGGAATCAGTGGAAGAATTGTGTACAGTATTGTGTTGATTCACATGTTTAATACTACAAACATTAAAATGACAAAAGATGAACAAAAGCGGCGTGTGAGAAACCAACTAAAAATGTTTTGTTCTACTTTTTATCGAAATATTCCATTCTTCCTGCGGCATATTAGTTGAAGTGTGTTGCTCACCTTCAACTAGCATGCCACGATGATTATGACGCCTTGAATCTTGCTTATCTGTTGATCTCCATGGTTTTATACTGGCTCTGTGTCTAGTTAATAGACTTTTGAGAATGATGATGATGATGACTTTAGTGAGATGTTCATAGTACTGCGTGGGCAGGATACTGTCCGATTGCTCAAACCTAGACCGGAAAACTATTAGGGTTCTTAACAATAGCCTTTGGTTCAAAAGCCTGACCACAAAACAGCGGGTTTGGCATTGGGCTACAAGAAGTTCGTTTTAGTAAATTATGAACCACCCTGACTCCAACTGCCAACCTGGAGAACCAGGAAACTGAGTTGCTCTGGCCTCTCATCACTGAACAATCTGGTATCAGTGGCTCTGAAGGTGCGAAAGCACCACCCAGCATAGCTCAGTGAATCTCTGAGGCGCGCAGACCATTGTACCAGGTAATGTCCAGCCTTGTTGCGATGGGCAACACTGTACCTCCGGTAACCAAGGCAACGGTCTTTTCAGTAAACGATAGCAATACATATATTGCACATACCCAAACAAAGCGACTTATCCTAACTTATTCACTGTTCTTAAGAACTAATTTGTCCTTTCTTACCTAATGCTCTCCTGCGCATATCATTGTTGCGGACGCGCTAGTGCCATTCAGCCCGCGCGCGACTGGTGGTGGTCGCGCGGCAGCGAAGCGTCGTTACGGCGTACAGCTGGCACATTATTATTATTATTATTATTATTAGTGCCATTCAACATTAGCATAGTTCCTTAGGTGGCAATGATGAAAATCTGGAAAGCTTCTCAGCTTCCTCGACCAAGAGTATAACTGCTTTCACTGCGTACTTGTATACACAGGTTTCTAAACCGAGGTCTTCCAATCCCCATCTGACACCACAGATATTGCAGGTTCAGGATAGTTATAGCTCTTGAAATACGCTAGATTCAACAGCCACAGGCTTATCACTACCAACGCAACTGCTAATATACGTTAATTTATCAACTGCTTTTACTTCCTCGTCGTTGACGGGTCAATGGATCATCAAGTTGTTGACTTTGCTCCTTGAAAGTTTGAAACGCACCCCAAACGATGTGTCCGCTCCAGAGCGTTTATCCACAGGTGACTGGTTCACACTGGGATTATCGAACAAAGATCTCTCTTTCACGTAACCAAGGCCAGGCAGCACTGGCCTTGTGCTATTCATAAGGGGGGCATCCTGTGTATAAGTTCACGACAAAGTTGAACAGGATTGGGGAAATGGGACGACTTTAGTTAGCACCGCTTGTCGGAAAGCATTCAACACTTCACCATGGAGCCTCATACAAACAGTAGTGTTTAAGTGCGACGCACGCAGAATTTTCATATATTTAGTGGATCACCTTTTCGTATATGTTAGTCAAACAGAATGAATCAGCCAATTGATTCATGGAGCACAACTATCGTCAGTCTGCAGTATGTATGACGCTGTCTTATCACCTTTTGCGGTGTAAAAATATGACAAGTGTAGCCTTTCTCTATGCGGAAATCACTGCGCCTACATGTATTTGGTATACCATTTCCTTTTTGAGACAACGGATGAGAATTGTGATCAGTTACTTTGTCACTGCCAGCGTCGGACTGATTCCTGGCGGTTAGCAGAACTGGTTCATCTACCGGGGATATCGCTAGGTCGCCTACAGCAACAAGGAATCGAACCAGCGAACTGTTGGTTACGAACCAGACGTCTGAACATCGACTTGACGCCCTTGGTCTACAAATTAAAATCTTTCCCTTCTCCTCTTAGCTTTCCTCTTGTCAGTTGATGCTTACTCCTTTTTAACCTTCCATTTGCATTCCAAAATTGTTACCATTGCTCCAGCTTGCCTTGTTTTCGTTCTTCTTCCACTCTTACTTCACGTGGCCGGCACAGCGGGGACTGCAAATACAGGGCAGGTGGGCATTGTTTGGTTGACCGTAGAGTGCACCGCCTGTGTTTATTCGGCTTCACCTTGCACATCGCTCCAGAAATTTCACTTTGGGATCAACGACTGTTTACAAGTTAGGACATATGCGCAATTCTCCTACTGTTCCAGTCCCACTTGAACTTGCATTTCCCACTGCTTTCATCTGACAGTGACAAGACGCACAATACCATGTCCGACCGATTTGTAGATTGCTGATGTTGCCAAAATCTCTGATGCAGTCAGTACGCGATAATCCCGCCTTCACGATGTGCCTCTTCAGAGATGAGCACCATTCTTCTGCACAACTAACTCTTGGAAAACACGCAACCTCCACCTTAGCTGCGTCCCCCATAGCCAGACTACCATTCTCCGGGGTTAGGATACAAACGTCTTTCAAAGAAGAATTCAACTGAACCCATCTGCAATTCGTCGGTGGTTTGGATTTTGGTTAGTCCAGTCCCCCGGTCATCCTGGTCAAAGGTTTGAACGGCATCTATTAAAGTGAAACTAACCCATATCAAGGGCTGTCGCCGTAGTGCGATTGCTCTATAATGTCACACCTTGCTTTTGGCCACTGCCTCTGAAAATGGCTTCAAGGTCATATATTTACTACCTGAACATTTCACGCATGACTTACGTGAGCAGCTCCTGTTTATTGCTGAGGCCACCTAAAGCCCGAACTGTGTGTGCAAAAGCGGCACATACGTCCGTTACTACTTCCTTGGCCAGCGCACAATGTTACCTTACCATTTGATTGCTGTCCGAGCTTCTATGTTGTACTGTTTTTGCTTTGCTTATCATCTATAGCCTACCTCTGAGCCATTGCTTGACTGTTCGAACAACCCAGAAATCAATTCTCAGCCTGATTTTACGCTAACGCCACCCACCATGTAAACGTTTGGGTCCGATAAGTGTTAACACGAAAAACATTTCTTAATCTAACACCCATTTGATCAATCAAATGGGAAAATTCGCCTTGCTGATCATCTACATTATATATATATATATATATATATATATATATATATATATATATATATGTGCTAGGCTAGTTGCTCTTGGTTATGCAGACGATTGACTTGCGCAATCAACCCTCAATAACCGCTCTAGAGTCGTCCCATCATCTGGCCTTCGCTCTTCACCTTTACAATCCGGTGTTTTTGCATTATCACCAAACACTTGATGCTCTCTCGACCCATGATAGCGAAGGTCTCGACGTAGTTGATTAATTCACTTACCTTGGCAGCTACATCAGCAACGATGTGCGCATAAACACTGAAGTCCTTTCACGTATTGCAGAAGCCAGAACTGCTTCTATAATTCTGTGACATCTTTGGCGACAGAAAGGTGTTTCTCTCGAACTGAAAGGCCGTGTTTACAAGGCCACAGTAAAGGCCGTCCTACTCTAATCTTATAGGACGGCCCCTTCGATCTTAAGCGTCCTCATGTTTTTGCTTTTTGCCGTATACGAAACTGCAGGTGTCAGATGGCACCAACCTGTCCGCAACGATTATTTGCGTGGATGAGTACTAGGCACTGATAACCGGCCTAGTTTTTTAGAACAACAGCTGGCACTGCATAAATTGCGTTGGTTTGGACACCTACTACCTTTGATCAGCCACGGCTTACTGAGGAGGGCCTTTTTTGTCTCTGACGACCAAACTTGGTACCGTCGGCCCGTCTCGCCTTCCAGGCTGGAGTCCACGTTACTCGCCTTTTGCTTGGCTCGAGATTTCACAAGGAACGGCTTGCAGTCGACACTGTTGGCGCTCCAGTGGATAAAGTCCTTCGTTCACTCATAATATTCTTGCCATCTTGTACAACCATGTACTTTCCTGCAATTGTCACCTAACGCCTCCCCTTTTGGATCTTCTGTTTTAGCTCCCAGCCCGAATCTCAATTTTTGACATCTCATGCCTAACCTTTATGAATTGCTTCGCTATACTTTTTTGTGCGCTGTCAGCGTGTCTTCTGTCCACTGGCATTGTCTTAGCAGTACAACCCCAGGCAACTAGACTCGGTAAGTAAAGCTGTTCTTTTCTGATTCTTGATAATGCGCTGCAATTCATCTACCCTCAGCTTTGAAAGCGGTTTCTCTGTGCTTTGTCCCGTCTCCTTCGGTAGCTGTTTGTGGGCGCTGCTTAGTCCTGACGCCGTTGGCTGCGCTCTGTTGTAACTATTTCATTACCGCTTGAAAACCTTCGTTTGTTACCTATCGATATCACTTCTTCTAAGGGGCTGTTTCAAGACCACTGCTTGCCTGCTTTCTTGTTGACGTGTCACCTTGTCGAACCACTGCGTTTACGTTGACCCGCAACACTGTCAGTCACTTTGGATAACAGCACTTTCTAAGTTTAACAGTCGTCGGTTGATTCGTGGTTGTGTTGGTTCAGCATTCTTTTCATGTAATAAGCTACCAAGGGTGCACCACATTGGCTTACAGCAGCTACACTGCTCCAATCGCTTCCGACACTGAGTATTGACTCACTGTCTCCGTTGGTGGGCTTGGTAGACATTTGACGCTTGATTTATAATCTCTACGCCCCGGGTTCTAGTCCACGTTCCTGCATTGGTTTGGTAGTCCCCGTGTTATCCCGACCAGCGTACAGCCCTTCGCGGTTGATTTATGTCGAAACAAAAGCTTTTTTCTGGCTTGTTGCTGATACGTTTAGGGGGTTTGTTGATAAGGACAGTAGCCTCCTTCGTGATGCGATCACAGAAGTACAACAGCTACTGAGCCAGGTGAACTAATCGACTACCTCAAGGGGCCGTTCGGTGATATCTAGAGCTGACGGTGTATCGACTTAGTCGTACCGCAGTTCCCCTAGCGTTTGATGGTGCGCACCACATGTCCATGCATACGGCGCTTTGCGTCAATCTATCTAGAGGCATTTCTACAATGACTGTGTTGTCTGCATACTCTAAATTTACCAGTCGATAACCTAGCATCACTCCAACTACCGAAGACGCTGAGAGAACAGGGTTATTTATGATTACTTCAATCACAAACTTAAGGGAAATGCGATATAAAGCAACTCTGAACCTCCCAACTTTTCATCTTAGGGTCAAGAGACACTTATCACTGGCCTTTTCTCGGAACTCGCGGCAGAAATTTCAGAATATTACGGAATTTATCTGGCACATCCTTTAGATGGATAGGATTAAAGTGGGCTGATTTGAAGGCTACTTTCTTGCAATAGAAGCCTGTCACGATTGATCATTTGTATTTGTGCTACTGCTCTAACGATGGGTGAACACGTGTTCATTGTATCCTCCGCTAAAGCGGAAGCCAGTCTCACCTGCAGTATGATGTTGGTGGTAATTTCGAATTCAATCGACATGGTTAATGCCCCTTTCTTTGACACTGTAAAGCTAGAGACGACTGTTGACAACCGATAGTCAGATGAGCGAACCACCAATCAGTCTGCTCCGCTTTGTGACGACAGAGGGAGGTCGTAGAAACTCATACAATCTATTTCGCTTCAACCACATGAGTTTTGGTCGAACCATTCTCAAAGCATTTGGATTGTTCGGCAACCAATAGTGCGATGGCAGACTCGGTGGACCGCTGTCCAAGACGCCGTAGAGCATCAATTCGACATGTCTTGAGAATTTGCCAACCACTCATCCTTCTTACTCGTTGCTTCACTAACAGCGCTTCTTTACACCCATGCTCCGAACTAGTTACAACAGTGCTTGGTTGTTCCCAAGGCCTTTACTTTTCTCCACTGCACGAGCCATTACCACCTACTGATGCTCTTGGCCAATTTCCAAACTTCTAGACAAACACTGTTTCTGACTGCTTCAGGCCCACTGAATATTTACCTTTAGAGAAACCAACCCATATTTTGCTTAATCTACTCTATGGTTTGAAACTCTACTTACCTTTTGAATATGTCAAGTTTGACGGACAAACGCTTACAACTTCACGGTGACGAATTGGATACCATTGTAGTCGATACTCGGCTCCCCACCCGCTCGCCGGGGACAGATGGCGAGCTGGGTTGTCTTGATATTTCTTTCCTAAACTGTGATTCTAATTGATGAGCGATTCTCTTCGACGTTGGACATCCCATCAAAACCAGTGGAGTGGGTGCATTGCATTCTCGCACTGGGATATGGTCCATTTCGATTCGTGACATCTTTGCGCTCGATGGAGACAGGTATTTTAAAGTGTTGCGAATAATACAGCGATTGTGATCGATCGATGGCTGACAAAGCCTGTCGCCATTATCTCTGGTATTCAACTACCGCGAGTCGGCGTTGTTCGAAGTCCGCTAGACGATCCGATTGCACAAAATGTCGCAGGCAACAAGTACGATATTCGTGTTCTTCGTCCTATAGATAACACATGCGAACAACCGGTGGAGCTGCAGTCAATTTCAGTTTACATCGAAACGAATGCTATATCTTTACTTCAGATGTCACCTATTAACTACCACTGAGGTTTGAAGTCAAGCAAGACATTTGCGGCTGTTTTCCGAGGCCCATTCGAACAGGTTGCGCTTGTCTTTTTGACGGGAGCACTACTGACACCATAAATATCCTTAGCGATCAACTCCACCATTGATGCGGGGATTATACTCATTGTCAACAGACACCTAAAGATTCAGTTGCCGCATTTGCTGATTGTTTCGGGGACCTTTCACTCATCAATCCGGCGAGTGAAGAATGTGAAGTTACTTTGTTTGTCGACCAACCTGACTTAAAGTTTAGGCGTTGGGGGCGATTCGTAAGGCCCGTTATCACGACGAGGCTGGCCTTAACGTTCTGCGACGCGTTGACCTAAGTTAGGTAGTATTTTTCAGGTGTCTTCAGGTCAGGCGATCAAAGTTTCAGCATTCTCCATCGGAATCAACATGCATCGGCCGAAGGCATATGGTTTTTTGTTGTTTCAGCTTAGACTCTTACCGACTGTGTCTAGAATCCGTCAAAGACCATTTTTATGAGCATCTCTCATCCCCTATCTGCGATTGTTACTGTGACATGAACACTAAGGTCCAATACTTATTATAACCAGAACATCACCTCGAAATCCAATCCCAGCTCGATGCGTGTCGTGCTGTCCGTGGTTATCTCTTTCTTTGGCTGTGCTCTGATCACAACATCTGTTAGCACAGCTTTCCATTACAAGCGGTCTAATCGAGATTCATGACAACCACGGAATGGCAGCTTGCTCTGGACTCCACTTGGTCACATTGCCATCAGCCGTAGCTGGTTTACTTCAGTTCAAGATTGTCGGTCCCTCTGCTGTCCTTGCCTCTGCTCTGATCACGATTTTGTACTTGCCCGCGTAACGCTAACTCCTGTTTTGGACAGCCGTTCATTTTTGAAGGTGATTGCTCCCCAACCATATTCGCAGTCTGTGAAGCAGCATAACCATTCCAAATGGCAACCTCGACTACCGATGTCGACCCGTAGCCTTAGGGATCTCAACCGTGCCTTGTAATCTGAGAACGCGGGTTCGAACCTGCGTATCCTTCGCCGTCGTGCGACCGTTGGTGGTTGCGCGGCAGCGAAGCGTCAGTACTACGTACTACTATTAAACCTATATTCTTCCTATGCTTTCCATGGTTTTGTTTGGCTCTGTCTATTTGTTGGACTGTTGTCAATATATGCCTATTGTGTACTGGCGTGCTGCTGATGCCCTTTACCGCTGTCGAACGATATGGACGTACTGTATGCGGGATGGAGTGTTTTCAATGGATCATGTACAAAGACTCAAGGCCACTTGTCCGCTCAGTTTAAAGTTTCCAAATAGTGGATCGATTTCTTTCTGATTGAACTACGAAAGACCGGGACGTCAGTCCCTTAGTGCACGTTTCACTGGCTAAGATTCTGAAAACCTATCGTGAACGGTGACGGATGGCGAGATGGAGAAGGCTGACACCCTTTAGGACACAGGAGTATTGCTCCGATTAATTCGACGGACGAATCCAAGAAAGGCTCTCTTGAGCGAAGCAATGGCTGAAGAAGATGGACAGCTGATTCGATTGAGACAACTGGACCTTTCGTTTTGAATCGCGATTAGGCTATCCTAGTGTTCCATAGTTGTTTAGCCACATCAACTGAATGCATCTGGAATGATGACTTGACAAGTCCTACTAACAGTGGGAGCCAACCTCATTTGGCAACCACTGAAGCGGTACGAAGCACCTGCATCAAATGACTCACCATCGTTGCTGAAGAGGGATAGTGCTTTTAGTGACTGCCATAGCCGCTCTGTTGGACCACTGTTTGACAAAGTGATTTTCTGTGAAGTTCCGTTTGATCTCTATTACGTTATTGCGGCACAGTAGCTGAGGTGTTTCCTACTTCTAGCTAACGTGTATAATGATAATGATGATTTCTATTACGTCCAACCTCTTGACTCACATTCTACCGTAACCCACTGCTCTTCGTGGAAGACGAACTAGGGAAGTTCCGACTGAGGGAGGATGTGCCAGATGGGCCGACGCTACATGCTTCGATGTGCGCTGGGCTTGTCTAAAGTGCAGGGTACCTTTGCAAGACTTTCCAGGCACCACTAGTCTCCACAGTCATGAATCAACAGCTCAAAAGATTCCTTCGGTTTACTTTGCCGTATCATCCCTGTTGATTGCATCACCAAGCTCGCCGATTGCATTTTTAAGGCTCACGTGGATTTTCAACCCATCAGTCATTTATGGTTGATGTAAACTTGATGTTTAAGAGTGCGCTTACGATATTGCGGTTCGGCACACCCGGTTTATTCCTGCTCACTACTTTCTAAGTATGGCCTTGTTCTATTGGTCTACCCACGACTTGATCGACGATCCTTTCGCTGTCAACGGGCAATGAAGTCTCAGGAAACTAAATTGTTTGTTGGTGCATCTAATCCTTTATATTTTGGGATCCACGCAGTTCATCTTATACCTGATTCGAGATATTGCAGACCATGGCTTGTTGTCCACACTAGTAGTGTAGTTGCTTTCACTCTTAGGAGGTCTGCCTGTTTAATAGGTGTGCGGCACTACTTCACCTGTGGTCCAGTCAACAAGCCCATGTTCAATCAAGCGGACAACGTCGGTTCATCCATTCCTATTTGGAGTCCTCAACATGTTCACTTTGTTACTGATTGGCCAACAGGCGGCACTTGCCCGAACACAAGAGCTCTGTCGATCGCTATTTGCCGTTTATCTGAAGCCGCCTGCAAAATTCGAGCTCTCCGCCTCCCTGCGATTCCTTACATGCGATACTGGTGACACTTTTTCATTGCGCTTGTTTGGAGATGACGCAGCTTCAACTGCCGGTCAAGGCGGTATGGACATTGTTTTGAGTCCCCGAGCTGAAGATGCCCTGACCGGTCAACAGTTGAATGTGCACCGTCAGACGGATTGGCTCTTTCAGGTCTTCGATGTCGCGCGGGGACAAACGTTACCTGTTTGTCATTACTGCATACGACCCCACAAACTGTAACACTGATTTGGTGAAAGATGAATTCTATCACCAACTGGTTGTGCACCTTCGTTACAGAAAGATTACGGATACTGTGGCGTTTGCTGGTGATCGGAACGCCCAAGTTTGGAAATTGTCCACACATGAACTGCATCTGGGTGGCCAACACGGCGTAGGCTCCCCTAATGATTGCAGTGAGTGGTTGCTACACCTGTATAAACATGCTCGTCTCCTTCTTTCAAGCACTAACTTCCTTCGCAACACCCACAGAAGTGTGAAATGGCGCCCACTTGCCTTAGACCAACCATGGACACAAATCGATCACTTCGCGATCAGTTACTGATGGAGTACCTGCGTCCAAAACTGCCGTTCAGTTTGTAGCACGAGCATAGACTCCGACCATGTATTCGTATGTGCCGATCTGCGGGTACCTTTAGGCGCATGTCCGCACTGACGCTCTAAGCGCATAGTTAATTTCCAACTTGTGAATGCGGTTCCAAGTACGCGGGCATGCGGATTGAATAACCGCTCACTGAACAGAATTGTATATCACTGGCGACATATCTGCCAGATGTTATTAGCAGCAGACATATCTTCGCGTGGCAGATCAAATTGCCAACCTGGAGACTGGGTCTCTACGCAGTCTCTATATTTTTTGGGATGCTCGCTGATGTGTTCCGACTAGAAGCAAATACAATGAGACTCGTAAAGATTTCAGGGTGAAACTACGTGCTCGCCTGCAGAGACCGTGAAGCCTGGTAGTTTCCTCGTGCTTCGGAGATGAAGACAGCCACTGCTCTTGGTAACCATCGGAAGTCATTTGTCAGATACGCGAAACGATTGCAGGAGACCTGGCATTAGCGAAGCTATATGTGACGAGATTGTACAACTTATTCACAGCTTGTCAAAGCGCTTGGAGCGTTGGGCTGAATACTTTAAAAAGCAGGTAGTTTACCAGTTTCGATCTATTTTATCAGCCAACAATTACTCTACTCCCTGGTCCGTGCCCTTTGATCCGCCCTCACCCGCGGAAGTCCAACGTGATATCAGCCCGTTGAAATTGAACAAGAACGCAGGAGCAGATAGACTTCTACCCACTCACTTTATTTTCGATGTACATGTTCTTGTAGTTGAATTTCATAAGTGGGAGCAGGAGACTGTCCCGACAGACTGAAGTCGCTCGATTATAGTCCCAGTTTTCAAAGAAAGGTCACATTCGGACTGGGGCATTCACAGAGGGATCAGTTCGATCTCAATTGCCTATTAGTCGCTTGCCTCTGTCTTGGTCTCTAGGCTGACTGACACTCGTAAAAGTCCGATTCGCGAGGAGCAAGCCGGATTTCGCCAATATCCAGGTTGTATTGACATCTTCACCGTCATATATATTGGCGGCCCACCGTAGTAGTGTTCCTCGAAATCAAAGGTGTCTTCGATCGGTAGATGGACGTGTCCTTTGGGACTGTCTGCATAAAAAGGTGTATCCGATAAATACCTGAACATTATGAGAGTGCTGTACGTGCATAGTTCGGGTAGAGTGAAGGTTTATGCTAAACTATTGCTGCATTCTAACATCTCCAGCGGTGTGTGACAAGGTTGTTCGATGTGACTTTTCCGTTTTTAACTACGCCATCGACGTTATAGAAATGGCATTCAGTAGACACGATTTAGAAAGTGTGGAGCTGTTTACAGACGAGCAACTTGGGGTCTACCGAGAACATTGCCCTAATCTGTGACAGCTCTCATACGTGCCAAGCGGCACTGAACAGATTAGTACAGGCTGTCAGTCATTTCGAGCTATGCTTTGCTCCTTCGAAATGCAAGATTCTCCTCAAAGATTGACAGCTACCGCCTACTGCCCTGACCCTTGGTGGTGATCAGTAGAACTCGTCCAGAAATTCAAGCACTTTGGCAGCTATGTTAGTACCTGTGAAACAGAAGATTAGACCACAAGCCCTAGGTGCTTTTGCCAATCTCCACCACCTGTGGCGTCGGCGCGACATTACTGTCGCCCTGACGGATAGAATTTATTACGCAGCATTCCGTCCAACTCTCCTGTACGGTTACAAAACCTGGCATATTAAAGCATCAGACATAAAGAGGCTTACTACGTTCGATCATCGATGTCTTCGCAGTTTGGCTTATGTCTTGTTGGAACACCGCGTGAAAACGAGCGTGTTCGGCGTCGCATATTTGGTACAAGAAGAGCGAGTGAATCGCTCGGCATCACTATATCACGCATCATGCCGTGATGGTCGAGTAATGTGTTGCGACTTCCGCTACGTGCATTGGATGCGCACGGGGGTGGCTAGAAGTGGGGAGGCCAAGCAATAAGTTGGTCAAGTGGAATGAAAGCTCTCACTTCGAACTTGGTGTCGTTTGGTGTCTCCTGACTGCTAGACTTGGGATCCCAATAGCGCTTAATACGTTTGGCTGGATGTATTAGTTGACATGCTGAGGAACCGAGCTCAATGGCCTTTGTGTTGTAAGTTCCTTTGTCCCTCCCGTGCCTGCTTATTTGCCCCCTCCGACAACAAGCTCACATTGCGTGTATAATATGACATTTAGCATTATATCATTGCTTCTTGGTTTTGGTATTCTGTAATGTTTAGTATTTCGCTCTTCATGTATCTCATCTTTTGTGTTGCGGCGCAGTTTTCTGAATTGCATTTATCACCTTCAGCTAACGTGTAGTGGTGATGATGATGCTGATTATGCGGAAAAGAAGCTGTAAGAAAGTTATCTCGTCAATACTAGTTTAAATTCACATTTTAGACAGTCGTGTGTTGTCCTGCAGTTTTGATAAAAATTCAGTGTGTTGCCCCTGACCACTTAATTCGGTAAGATCTTGCATTGGGCTACCCTTCTTTTTTCTTCCCACTCTTTGCGCGACTTCTCCATACACTGCCTTTGATGATGCGTATACTACACCATTGCCTTTTTTACCACCCTCATCTCCGTAGCTTTTTAACATGCTCGAACCGTTTTCATTAACCATGGTTCCTACTTCTTATCACTGCACAGAACCGCTTGCTTGACCTTTCTTGGGGTTACGTTTCCTAAGTTACATTTCTCGCTATCTTCCTACGTATTATTGTGCCTCCGAGGCATGTTCGTCCTGTAAAAGTCCGACTGCTTTTTTAGATATGAATCACGTACAGTTCACTCTGTCTCACCATGTCGCTTAGCATCCAATTTTCAAGTACTTTTTGTTCATTTTTCTGCAGCATTGACCTCATAGATGTAGATGTGCTTTCGCCCCGCGTTTGGCCGCTTATTCTTTAGTCTTCTCTCATTCTTGATGTTTTGGACTTTACTCTGTCGTCGGATCCTTTTGAAGATTCGTTGTAACAACTCGCGAGCACACTGATGGATGTCCGCATCCGGTGCGGATTGGTTTCAATTCGTTTTTAACTTGGGGCACTCTTCTCTTTCCTGACCAACCAAGTGTCATCATTGCGCTCATGAGTCTGCCTCTGGGTAACCGTTGTTTTCTTGCCCTTACAGAAACAATATCTGGTGTGGGAACCGAAGAGTCATCAGTCTATACTGCCGCCAAAATCAGCGTTGCGCGTACGAACGACGCAACATTTCGTTCGTTTCGTTTTGCCCCCGCTTCTGGCGCTATTGAGGAACGGGTGCTAGTACCCGCTTCCTCTAACCGTACACGGGTAACGGTTGTGCCAACGCAACATATGAAAGTAGCGTCTATCCCCGAAGATGCTCTACGCAATTTTCCTGATTGGTCTGTATGGGCTGATCGGTCTGTGCTTGTAGTCACTATCATTCACCTGAGTCTTACTCGGTTGGGTACCACTTGCCCAAAGATGTCCATCTGCGCAATACCTGACGTGGCACCGCTTGATGCTTACGCGATGGATATTACGAAAACGAATTGTCGCTCTCTATTTGGTGAAGTAAGCGCAATTATCACTTTTTTATAGCCTGTATGCGGTACATCGTCCGATGTATACTTACTACTTACACGAAATAGCACCTGGTTCAAACCTGTCATTTCCTAAATTCTTGCACGCTCCTCTGCCTTAATTCCAGTGGTTTGAGCTATTGATGCTGAAATTTTTTACGGAATGATCTGAACCGCTCCACACACCAGCAACTAAGTTAAGTGGTAAACTTCCTAATATGAACTCGTCTTACTATGTCTGCATTGATTATTTAGGTTTACCTAACTATATCACGAACTTGTTTTATCGTGATTCTTGCTTGATAACCTGACATTTGCTTGCATGGTCCGCTTAATACTTGATGTCAGAAATTGGGACTTGTATCCTTTGCGTGCTCCGCTGCGTACCTCACGCCGACCCGCATACAGCTCATCCTTTCTCCATAAGTCGCCTCCACCTGGCAACAGTCCCATCGTAGTCTTTCCTTGGGTCTTGCACGAAAGGCATTTCGCAGTTCCAACGGTACTTCAGTAGCAGGCGTCCATTTTTCTTGATTTTCGCACCACAAAACTTTATCAACATTCGCTTATACTCTTGGTGACCATCCTTACCGGAAGGGGATTTAGCCCCCCCCCCCCCAACTTTAGCTTGATTGTGCCTATTGTCCTGCTACGTTGGTCCACCAGTACTACTTTGTCGAGTGACACTTTCTGTGAACTGCGGTGGAACCCAGTGATCCAATGACTTTTTGCATTCACCTAAGCTGCGGATGCTCCGTCCAAGCCAGGAATACTCCGACTGTCCGTCTCTGACCTCATTATGTTTCATTGATGTGTATTACATTCCGCTCTAGACTTTCGTCTTTATAATTTTCCTTAATTAATACCGCAACCAGCGATCATTAGGGACCTGAGTGTTTTTAGCCTGTTTTCGTTGCATCCTTGCTCCCGTCACTGCTGACACTTTTTTCATTGTCCCCTGGAATAAATTCCACCAAGTCTTCTGTTCATTTTTCTTTCAGTTTTCTGGGACTTGTCATGACAACTTTTTTGGTGAAAAATCCCACTCCATCCTCTTCCCTTTGGCGTCCAGCATAAATGTCATGGTCAATCCTGTGGGTCTCACTCCGCCTACACCGAACTCTAGCCTGGATTTCATTGTCTCTGCTGGGTGTACGTTTCCTTAAATTAACCAAGTGTTCCCTTTTGCCGTGTAAAATGTTTAAGGGACCATGTTCACTATCTTGCTCGTTATCCTCTCTAGTGCATCGAACCTCCTTACCACTCCAATATGCTGGCTAGCGGTGACTGAACCCTTACAATGTCTTCCATCTCAGCCAATGACTCCTGAAGCCCGCATATTCAACACTCCAGCCACTCACAATTGGAAGTTTACTTACTCCTATGTCGCCGTATTATGAGTACTTTACGGATATTAGTGTAGATTCACGTTCTCTCCTCCGTACCTCGCTTCACTTAAATTAAAGCGCTATGATCCCTGTGTCAAAATCCGGTCTAACTAGCCGCCCTCATTTTCGCCCTCATGGTAATTGAAATCGACAACGATGAAAATAATATAACTAAAAAAGCCATCTCACCAATCGTGAATGACTGGGGATTTGACAAAAGTGTCTCCGCCTGTTGATGTGGCCTTCTCCTAGTCATCATCTGTAGAGGCGACGTACACCGATGCGAGCCGGTTCTGTGGCCAATTTCCTCATGTTTTTTGATGACATTCTAGCCACCGATTATTCACCCAGTTAAACAGCGTATCCGTAGGTATGCGAAGCATGGACGCCGGCGTTCTGCTAAAGAACAAGAGGATCCTTCTTCTACCGCCACCACCAACTATGGGACTTCATCATTGTTTGCTTTGTTTTTCCAACACACATATACACTGTTGACGCGCACTTCTCATTACTCATGTTTCCGGGCCGTACAGCCACGCTAGATATGGTGTAGCAATGCACACCTTGCCATTAGTTGACAAGTCCATTTCTTGTTGCCCTCTAACCGATGCACGCAGCAAACTCTTCGATTAAAGGAACACTAAGGCAAGTACATCGACCGGTCACTGCGAGTGATTCGGTGAAATTCGGAACTCAGTGTGTCAACCCATTCTTACAACAGTACTCGTAGTTTGACCATCCAACATGTGTGCCAAAGTAGCTTGAGCCCCTCGTCAACCTATACAGCGGCGTTTCTGTGTGAACCAAGTTCATCCTTAGAGGAATACATGGTCCACACTTTCTATGCTTGTTGCTTGGCAATACGTCGACTGCATAACCGAAGTCGGTTGGATCGTGTGTTTTTCTCATGCCCATCAACCACTTGTGGACGCTACACATGGTTGTATGTTGCATCAGGTTGGTCTCTTTTTGGTGATGTAATTAAGGCATGTGCAAAAAACTGACCGACTAGCCAGTTCATGTATACACTTTGTTACTTTATGTCTGAAGGTTTCGTCGATTAGAGACCATTTACGACTTGACGCAGTCGCAAAGTCATTTGTACTCTTTCATTCTGTCTCCTGCTTTTAGCTTCTATATGAAGTGATCTTTCTAAACCCTGTTCCAATGAGTCTTCTTATTTTCAGTGTTCCCATCTAAATGTACTTTGTATTATGTAGATGACACGATTGTACTTTTCTATTTTGCCTGGCACATTTATAGCTTCTTACTCTCTTTAAACATACTGCGAGAGTGCATTTTTTAGGCCTCACACAATGCGCCCTCCTTTTTCGTTGCTACTACGCGTCACTCATCCTTTGATAGCTAATGATCTATCATCATCGGTTATTTGAACCGCTTCTTCGTTGCCATCTAACCGTGATGAGCCTGTGAATGAGGAATAAAATGAAGAGGAGTAGGGAGCATAGTGTAGAATTCAGGCACCGTAAACGAACATCCATGGTCAACAATACACTGCCACAGACAGCTGGCTATCGTGCAAAGATGGGGCGGCCTTAGTGAGACAGCTTTCTTCCGGCTCTGATTGCCCCACGTCACAACTAAGCTTATTCCACGCTCATTTAAACAGGTACTGTGACTAAAATGGACAGAAATCACGCAGCTGGCGACTGTTACAAGCCATACCTTGTAGCGTTTCGGGCTAGCCACAAAGTGGGTTGCGTCGACTCCTACCTGAAAGGCGAGGCGGTTCAACAGCGTCCATTTTAGTCGTCAGTGACTTCCATTTTCAATATGGAATCAACTTTTTCTGGCCCGTAGAATTATGGATTACGAGGCTGCGTTGTAATCTAGGAACGTGCGTTGGAGTCTGTGTAGGGACCGGGCGACCCTTGCAGTATCCTCAGCCCATGTGCGCCCGATGGTGGTTGCGCGGCAGCGTAGCGTCGGTACTGCGTGCCGGCGTACTGCTGGTGTCATTGTTTTGCCAACTTTTACTTCTCTCCTCGAATCCTGCAATATTCTACATCCGGCCAACAAATATGACCCTACGCTGTTCACCTCAGATTGACTTTTCGATTCACCACATGAATCTTGCCTAAAGCAACTACCTTTCCCTTGGCGACTTTGGCCCAATGAGGTTGTGCTTGACATCTGTGAAACACTGGTCAGAGAGTGGTTGCCATTTTATGGGACTCAGTGCAATGCTGTGTGCGTTCATGTAAGGCTGCGGAGTCGTTTATGTTTCGCCTCCCCTGAACCATACTCTTCATGATTGTTGGTGATGGAAGGCAAAATGCATGTGTTCACTTAACGCTCTCACTTGTATGCGAGGCTGTTTTACTTTCTGCTAGCCTGGTTACACCATCTTTGTTCGCCATCATTTTACCTAACGCTGCAGCAGCTGCCGTACGAACAGACGTTCTAACCAGAGAAAACAATGACTTCCGCTTACCTTTTTCCTGAACGTATGAATGTGCAGTAATTTTACCATACCGCACCACCCGTCCCCACGCTTATTCGGATTGTTTCGCTTCGTCATCCACATTGCCGTTCATAGTTTTTAAGCTCTTCATAACTCATTTTCAGTTGTTTGTCTTCTAGCCAATACATTTGCATCGTTTGAGACGCCCAGCCACACTTCTCGCTCTGAAAACGTTATTTACCGTTTCACTGTTTCAGACCGTTTGCCACCAGGCGTGTTCCGATGTCCAGCCGGCCTGTTCCCATGCCCGTTGACAACGCATCGTCTAAAAGAGTATCCGCTGTCATCTGTTGACTGGCAGCAGCGGATATGTCTGCCCTCTTCGCTGTGCTGCGACGGAGTGCCGAATTGCCCCGAGTCTGACTTCGACGAGATGAATTGTGACCAACCGTGCTTCGCTCGCGCTAATTCCTTCCCTCCAATCGCCGGCGAAAAGGAGAAAGTGGATGAATATTTGCGTCAGTTCAATTGCGATATTCTTCGCTGGATCGGTCACGACTGTGTGCTTAGTGCCACAACAACTGTTTATATGCTTGTGGCGCTTGGTGCGCTTGCTTTTCTCTGCGTGCTTGTCGCTACTGTTCTATACATCATACGCAAATCGAGAATGGCAGCACAATCCTTTCGGATTCAGGAAAAATCGGTTGAGTTACGACCTCCTAGTCGTTGTTCTTCAGCTGATTCTATGGAGAAACAGAAGGAGTTTATGCTGCCCCACGATAAACAGAACTCAGACCACGAGACGCTCACCACCGGATATTTACTGGATGGTGTCGAGCGCACCGATTTCCGCATGCTTTCGTGATAGCTTACATGATCTTATGTTTTCAATAAAAATTAACCAACCTTCGCTATTTAACTTACGAGAATGGAAGGTTTTGCACCATAAAGCACTGTTGTCAGGCAATTTCCAATGGCTATATTTGTGTGGAATATGTTCAGTTTACTCTGGTGTATGTTTTGGTGCCTGAAACTGGTGTTGACCACATCCTACTCCTGGACTAACGTGGTAGTCCTATAATACATATTGCGGTACAATTGTCAGAGCGCCAAAACGTATTGGTATTACTATCCAACAAGGAAAAGGAGAGAAATCCCAAACTGTAATCATGGGAGTGAGGTTTTATAGCATGTCCATCCAAGAGTGGGCCCAGCCAACTGGGTTCGCCAGTGTGACCGGTTATAGGGCCACTGACCACTTACTTCTGCAGCCAGAAGTGAGTACCTAACGGAGGGCGGTTGGAGGACGATGGTCACTGGCTTCTCTGCGGACCTCGGACGCTGTGGGGGGCGTATAAACCACCTGGCGCCGTGTCCGGTGGTCCAGGAAATTTTCCTACTCGTGCCACTACACTCCAGCTTCTTGAGCCCTCTGGGTAGTCTGTTTCTACTCAAAAACGGTGTTGTCCTCTCTTTGATAGCCGCTTCCCAACCGTTCGTGATATAGCTTAATCGTTCCGCTGCTTTGCAGAGCAGGTCTTCATAACCCAGGGACCCGGATGGGGTTCCCTAGACTACTCTTCCTTGACTTGGGCAACTGAGAACTACCACACTCACACAACTTATGTGCCAGTGTTTCAACAATTCTCTATGCTAGTTGTTCTGAGTGATACTGGCTACATGCACCAGACATCTCAGTTTGTGGTAGATGGGCAACACCTGATTCCGCTTGCCCTTCACAGTAGCTAAATCCAGTCAAGGTTCGTGCTTTGGCGAGATCCCTTGCATGGGGCTGATGGTGTGTAGCAAATTCCATACACAAGCTGTTAAAGTTCAACAGGAGGCTCAACCGTGTGTGCATGTGTAACTGATACCTTCATTGCCTTCTCGTCACCTAGGGAAACGCTCAATGTTTTGTTTAAGACCTCAAACCAGTTTGGATGCGGCATTCTACTCACTTGACTCCGTTGCATGGATAGTTAAATGTGAATGATAACGCGGCAAGTAGTATGTCAATCATCATTAACATCGGGTCTCAATTCTTTCTAGCTCATTTGCCTTAATCTCCGTACTCACCATTTTCCAGCGTGCTGCACGTGGCACATTCACGTTTTAGACCTTCTCCTCCACGGTCATCGTACCCCGCGGTTTGCCTCCACTACGCTGGAGGTCGAATGGCCGCCAGTTTGTATTGCAGGAAATGGTCTGTTATGGGCGTGCACTCAGTTACAAGTCTTACTGACACATTTCCAGCAAGCGACAAACTGCAGCAGTGCTATGGAAGAGCTGCCAGAGTCTTAACGGCTGCTTATGTGTTCATGCAGAGAACGCGACATAACTTCACCGAACATTAGTAGCATTTACTTATTATATAATGTTGATGGTCGGACTTCCAACCACCTTAGTTTTACCCACGTTAACCTTGTTTGGGTAGTCGTTCTGCTGGTGCTATTAACCCTTTAAGGCATACGGGACAAATATGTCCCACACATTAAAATGCGCGCCCATATTTTATTTACCCACAGAATAATGGGAAAATAATTTGAAAAAATCCCAATAAGTCATAGGACGCCGAAAACGGTCAGTTATATTGCCTGTATGCTTCAAACCATCATTTTGTAACGACCGAGAAGTGCCTGCGTTTCGTCATCACCTGATGTGCGCTTCTCTTACGTGCTTCAAAGGTTGAGGACAAGACGGGAACAGTTGCATTGTCTGTTGTGCAGTTCGTCTCTCATTTAACTTCCAGCTGTCCACTTCCCATTTGTTTACTAGTGAAAGTCACTCCGAACCGAAAACTGCCAACATTAATTCATCCGGCTCCGTTCTACTCTCCCACTGGGATATAGGGGAATTCACCTTTATTCTGCAAGTATTATGTTACTGGGACACTCTTCAGGTATTTTTTTGCTGTCCTATTTGTGATTGTCCTCAAGCTTTCTAGCAGATGGCACTCCTTATGCATCCATCAATTACGATCCCAGCATTATCTTTAGATTTGCGTTACTTTTTGAATTTACATATTGGATAGAGGTTAGTGGAATCGACGCACTTCTTTCTACGGGCCATAATTCATCAGCAACAAATTTGTTTACGCGCTACTCTGTTAGAGCAGTTCGTTGGTACAGTTGGGGCTTTATAACTGGCGCATTATCGATCGACGTTCCGCCTGTTCGCTTTCTCGTTTCCTTGCCAGCATATTGGCAGTAGTGCTAGCACGAGTAATGTGCGATCTGATAGTGCGGGCACCTGCGTGAGATCGGCCTTTTTGCTACATGGGTGGTGGGGAATCGGTGTCATCTTTGTCATCCTTATACACGTTAGCTGCAGGTGGAAAACACCTCAGCTATTGTACCGCAACACTAAAGACAAGGAGAACAAATACAACAGTGGCACGTCGGCTGAGTCCCCAGTAACGAATGGACATCGTTTCGGAGAATTAACAGCCGGCTATCGTGCCGTAAAAAGAGTTATATTATGCCTAGCGAATGAGATTGTACTTGGCGGGGGAGGCTAAGCAGGAGGGGATGAACAAAGGAACTCACAACACAAGCGCCATGGGGGCCGGCTGCTAGCCATATCAGTAAGTGTGTCCAAGCAAACATGTTCATCGTCCTTAGGACCCTAGCCAGGTAGTCGGAATGCACCAACTGACGCCAACTTCAAAGTAAGGGTTTTCATTTCTCTCGACCAAGGCATCACTTGGCCTCCGCTTCCAACCGCACCCCCGGCGCGCAAACAATGCACGTCGCGGAAGTCGGTGTGCTGGCATGCGCAACAGGTGGCCCAACCGTCGGAGCCTGGTACGTGATATAATGATGCTGAGCGCTTCACTCGCTCTTCCTGCACCAAATACGCGACGTTGAACACGCTCATGGCTCACGCGGTGCTCCCACCAGACATGAGCTAAGTTACGAAGGCAGTGATGATCGAACGTGACGAGCCTCTTTATGTCTATAGACCTGATGGGCGTGGTTTCATAACCATATAGGAGAGTTGAACGGACGGTTGCGTTGTAAACTCTGCCCTTCAGGGCGAGAGTAATGTCTCGTCTGCGCCACAGGTGGCAGAGATTGACAAAAGCACCTCGAGCTATTGCTATGCGGTTCGTAACCTCATCTTCGATCCCACGGGTGCTAATATAGCTGCCCAGGTACTTGAATTCCTGAACGACTTCTAGCTGATCACCACCAAGCGTTAGCGTAGGGTTGGGTCCCTGCCAATCTTGGAGAAGTACTTTGCATTTCGATGGAGCAAAGCATAGCCCAAAACGATTGACAGCCAGTGCTTATCGGTCCAGTGCTGCTTGACATGCTTGGTAGCTGTCACAGATTAGGGCAATATCGTCCGCATACTCCAAGTCAAGAAGTCGCTCACCAGGAAGTAGCTCCACACCTTCTAGGTCTTGTGCAGCGAACGTTGTTTCCATGACTTCATCAATAGCGAAGTTAAAGAGGAAAAGTGACAGCAGACAACCTTGTCTCACACCGCTGATGATACTGAAGGGTGACGACAGTCTGCCATAAACCCTAATTCTGCCCGAACTATGCGCGTACAGCGCTTTGATAATGTTTACATATTTATCAGACACATCTTTCCTCAGCAGACAGTCCCAAAGGGCACATTGATCGACTGAGTCGAAGGCACCTTTTATGTCAAGAAACACGATAACGGTGGGTCGCCAATAAACATGGCGGTGCTCCAACAATTGACGCAAGGTGAAGATGTGGTCGATGCAGCCCCGACCCGGCTTGCTCTTCACGAATCTGGCTTTCACGAGTGCCAGTCGGTCTGTGGAGAATGCCAGAGGCAAGTAATTTAGAGGCAACTGAGATCAGACTGATCCTTCTATGACTGCCACATTTCGAACTGTAGCCTCCCTTGAAAATTGGGACAATGACGGAGCGGCTCCACTCTGTTGGGACAGCTCCTGCTCCCAAACTAGCAACTCTTGTAAATCATCTATTAGAGCAGTTCCCCCGAATTTGAAGAGGACTGGGGAAATTCTATCTGACCCTGCGGTCTTATGCAATTTCAACAACCTGATCTCACGTTCGACTTCTGCGCGTGAGGGCGGATCCAAGGAGACGGCCCAGAGAGAAGGCTGTGGGTCGGCTGCTTACTCTAATCGTGTATAGTCTCGCTAACACCAGGTCTCCTGCTACCTGTTTTCCGTATCAGACGGAATAACTTACGATGATTACCAACGGCAGCGGCTGTTTCCATCTCCGATGCACGATGAGACCACCAGGCTTCGCGGTCTTTCTTCAGGCTAGCACGCAGTTTTGCCCTGAGATTTTTGCAAGTCTCATTGTATTCGCTTCCAGCCGGAATACGTCGGCGAGTATCCATAAGTTCCCGAGACTGTGTAGAGATCCACTATCCAGTTTGGCAATTTGATTTGCCACATGAAGACATGCCTGCTGATAGTAACATCTGGCGAATATGCGACCATTGATCTTTGACGGTGTTCACTGGGCGCTTACTCAGCCCCGATGTCAGCGCACTTTGACACACATTCAGAACCCCTGGCTTCGCCACCTGGCTGCTGTCAATCCGTTCACACCGACGTTGCGGACCTCAACCGAAACGCACCCGGAGGTAGGCGCGGACAAGTGCGTGGTCAGAGTTCACGCTCGTGCTCCAAATCGAGCGACAGTTTTGGACACAGCCTCTCCAGAGGTAACTGATCGCTATATGATCGTTTTGCGTCCATGGCTGGTGGCCGCCAAGTCACGCTTCTGCGGGTGCTGGGTCGAAAGTTTGTACTCGCGAGAAAGCGACGAGCATCTTCACACAGCTGTAGCAATTGATCACCGTTATCATTACGGGAACCTACACGATATTGGCCGCCCAGATGAAGCTCATCAGAGAACAATTTTCCGACTTGGGCGTTTAGATTGCCAGCCAACACCACAATATCCGTGCTTCTTCTATAACGAAGGAGATCATGAAGTTGCTGATGGAAATCATCTTCCACTGAATCAGTGCTACAGTTTGTA